TGTTCATCTCTCATTTCCAAGGAAGCAAATGGCACTGTTCAATTACTGCAACCCAATAAACTCAATATTTTTGTCTTTATACACTTCCATTCAATGTTCACACGGTACCGTCACGCTCGTACCTTTTTGAAATTTCTGCAACCCCCCTCTCAAGGGGGTCCAAGATGTGATTCGTTAGGATAGGAAGCCATTTTTTTGCATTCCGCAGCGCGAAGTTTTTTCCGCTCTGGGAACCCCAGGTTCTCCCCTAATCATTGAGTGAATCTGGGGTTCTTTTAACGAAAAGTTTCGCGCGCGAAATGCGGAAAAGTCGCTTCCTGACCTAGTGACCCACACCGGGTCCGGGTACGACCTTTCGTTGCGGTTAAAACCTTTTTACAAAATCGCATGACGTGTCCTGGCCCACCTGATCTTCGATTCCTTGGCGAAAACGGCAGCGTCCCTGATCTTCGATCGTTGGCGTAGTTCGGAACTCCGGATTCCCCTCTGCACTTGCGTGTATAGGGTTACTCCTAGCATCGTCCTCTCGACAGCGCGTTGGATAACGCTGACCGCATGCTCGTCCTGCCTGCGCAGAGTCCAAGTCTCTGAGGAATAGATTAAGGCAGGAAGGAATCGAAGAGATGGGCCAGAAAAGTCCGAGAAATAACTTCAAATGTTTAGTTTGCACTTTAGAATCGCAGAACTAAATTGCATGCGGATTTCCTGTTTTCAAGAGCATGTGTTTGTGCTTGCTATTGTGCCAGCAAATACCTGCTTTTTTTGTGATCAACACATTGCGGACTGCCATTATACAAGGATATCCGTACCCTTTTTATGTTTTGAGAAAATACATTATTGTCAATCTATAATATCAACAATTTTATCTATGATGATACTAATTGTTTCGTGGCTCAAAATGAGTGCAAACCCTCAGCAGCATTGAAAAATAACAAGTAAATTAGCATAAACTATGATATTTTGTTTGAAATCGTGCGTCGCCATGTGGCGCAAGCGGTACGCAATGTGTAAATTCAAAAAACAGCGATATGCCTCAAACCTCCAACAGCAACAAATTTAATGGATTTATTCTGCCTTGTTCCAAGATTGAGAAGACTTGTCTAACCATAAGGCGGCATATAGTTTTTTTCCAGTATTGTGGCATGTTGCTGCTAACACCTCAATGAGCCCGGGTCTCATCGTTATAGTTAGTTCAAGAGCAAGATTCTTGTGTGTTCAATCGATGTTATTTCATGCCTCATGCCGTTTACAGATGCATGGAGGAAGTTGAATGTTGATTGCGATGAGAATGTTACGGTTCCCACAAATGGATTACCTGTCGACTGGATTCCCTATGGATACGTGCGTAGCCGAAAAGGAAAAAAACCGCGATTGGAACAGAGCGCTGCTCCGCCTGCAGCCAAAAAAGCAGCCACAGACACACTTGCCAAATTAGGTATGTTCTTTGCAATGTTCATATGTAGCTCTGTTTCTGATGAATCCACCTCTGAAATTCCTAACTCTGCCACTGCCACACCCAGCGTAGACAGCGCACGAATGAGACGTTTTCATACCGAGCTAGTGTGAGTGTGTCTTGTTCAGGAGGTCAAAATACCCCTAGTGAAAAAATTCTGGTCCAATCGAGTTTTTGAATATATCGAAACAGATTGTAACTCTTTTTAATCGCCTGTGTCTTCGATGCCGGTCTGCGATTGCAGTACGAGGAATAGTAGTTGTTCAGTCCTGCCATGCGTAGTGAGGTGTAGTTCGACGCACTAATCTTGGGACGCTGACGGTCAGAAAGGAAGACTTTTCTTCATTTATAAGGATAATTGAAGGTCCTGATCAATTGCACACATTTGCATGGCCGACGCTATTGTAGAATTCCTCAAGAACCTACCACTGAAGTACATCAAGTCACTTTAATACAGGTCATTAGTTGACTACGGCGCCGTATTCATAATCAGAACACTAAATACCTCCTCTTGTGAATTTTTTGACGATTTCGGGTTAGTGCCAAAGAAGCTAGCGACCAAAAAGGCTTTGACCACTCTTTCAACCGCAACTTCCTTCACCTTTAACTTTCGCATACTGACCGTGGAACTGGAGCGACGGTTCTGTACCTCTCAGTTTGTGCACAATCGCTCCAATCGCAAAGTCTTACATCGGCCACTCTCCTAACTGTCGGTGGATAGCGAGTTATGGGAGTGTAGCCTTGTTTGTCTTGTCAAGTAATGCTTTAGATGTCTAACAATATGATTCATGTTTTCAGAGGATCAAGTGGAACGAGAAGTTGCAAAGGAAATTCTTCTCTCTATCTCCAAGTACTCTGGATCTTTCGTTTTTGAGAGGTATGTCTTCAAGCGACTGGCTCTAATTTATTCAACTCTCCCAGGTTCTTTTGCCAAGGTTAGGATTTTCGAAGGCTGTCTAGCAGTTGTTTTCAACAAGGACAGGGGGAGAAACGCGTCATTCTGCGTATTGTTATGTATCAGTTCTGAAGAACATAGCAAAAGCTGCCAACAGCCTCTGTGAACATGCTATAGAATCTCAGAATGTACCATACCAACGATGGTCTTCCCTTTCGTAGGGCATGTCTTGCGTTCTACGGGCTAATGCCACAATTCTCAGAAAAGTGTGAATGGAAAGATGTTTAACAAGTCGATCACTAGGCTTGGTCGGCTAGAGCGCGCATAGCTTCTGTAGCTCCACTCCGACTGCCCCAAAAGGAAATTCCTGGAGCGAACAAAGATATTAGTTTTGCCGTATTTTTGGATAAAACTCTGGTAATGTCTAATGGGAATAAAAGCAGCGCGTATTGAATCTTATCCTGCAACGCACTCGAAAAGTTTGAAAGGCGTTCATAATTTGCAATTCTTGATAACAAAAATTAATGAGGCACATAGCCACGAGCTGTGGGAAGAGCGAGAGACCCAGCGGATTATTATTGTGAAACTTTACCTTTAACGTGCTTTTGTCAACTTCAAGCCTAAATGGGACAACCTCTGCGCTGGTACTTGTCCTCTTTAGTTGGTACATTCTACTTATGGAATGTGCCTTCTAGTCAGCAGGTGGGGATCCTTCGAAATTGAAGTTGTTGAAGAAGACCTGGCTCAATGCCAATGTTTTCGATTGTATTTTTCTCACCTTTTACGGATGAACACCTGGAGAAGTGAAGTATAATTCAGACTCCATCATCCATTTAAATGTGTATATACAAAAAGCTTTTTATTGTTCTAGCTCGGAGAGAGACACCTACGCTCGGCTTGTGCCGTTTCCCATTGATAATGCTAGTACCAAGATGGGCGCCAATGATGACTGGCAACTAGACAAATTCGACTGTAAACTGGTAAGTTATGCTGAAACATGCTCTCGAAGTATTTTTTAGTTGCTTGTTCTGAAAATTTACCTGGCCCAAAATTTCTGTCGCATGAGGTTAGCTCAGAGGTTTCAGTTGCGCGCTGACGTGACTTTCTTTACGGTAACTACACTACAGATTGTATTTGTATTGATATCTGTTGTTCGTCGGTCGCCGTTGATTCGAAAATAATTGATTCGGCTTTCAAGCTCATTAGTCGTTACTGCTCTGCAGTATTACAGTGATGAAAATGTTTTTGCCAAAACTCAAACCTCATGTGATCTGCTAAATGGCATTAAAGAAATGATACTGTTATATAAAATGGTATTCAAAATCATGAAAACTAGGAATGTGGAACAAGAATCTGTCTATGGAGCCGAAAATCGGGCTCACAAGATGTCATTTATACTATTTTTCAAGTACTGAATTTGCTGTGAAAAAGAGAAAAACATGAATAGCATAAGGGATTTCGAACCAAAGGAGTCTATGAAAGTCAGCTTCACAATTAATGTGAAATTTTTGATAAGTACTGGAAGAAATTGTACTTTTTCTCTCCACACCAGAATTTGTGACTTTGGGCGAAATATCTGCTTCATGAAAAATGTTTGGAAGTTTTGAATATGGAATAAAATCGCAGAAATTTTTTTTGATTCAGTCCGCGCTATAAAGCGGTTCTGACTGTTGGCTGTTCGCACAGGCAGAACGTAGAATCTTTGTGGTGATTCCTCCGATTTTATTGGCTCTGAGAACATACTACAGTTACCGCATTCTCTTCTCGTTTTCGGATGTTAATATTGCAGAATTATTCAAAAAGAAACTTCGAGTAATCTATAGTTTTTGATTATTCAGGAATCTTTAATGGCTAATCCCCCATCGAAGAAAGTTCAGAAAATTTCTTTCCCTCCATGGAAGGGCGCTAAACAACGAGAAAGAAAGCATGAGGTACGAGTTGTTCATTATTCTTCTTATTCATTTTAGTATTATTCTTAGACTCGAATTTTATTCTTACTTTAACACGGTTGGCCCTCTTTTCCCGTAGGAAATAGTTCTTGTCAGTGTTCTGTTGTAGTGATCCCTGTGACATGGAGGACTGTTTGTTACTGTTTGTTGGTGCATCTAGTATCATTTGCCATTGATTTGTTTGTGCTGACACCAGCAACGTCTTCATACAAGAGTAGTTGAGTCGATTCTTCCTGCTAGGGGCACGAAGTCCTTCATTCAGTTCTTGCAGAGCCTTCATGAAGAAGACTGGCCATCGGGACGGCGGTCCTTCATGTGTTCGTTAGACGGATTGGATCCGTCAGTAACTGCTCTGGTGCAACGGTTATCACAAAATCGCATGACGTGTTCGACCGTTGATGGTTCGAAACTCCTGTTGCGCATGCTCGTCTTCCTGCTAAAAGTCCAACTCTTCG